TTTTCGTGTTTTTTGTTTGGCGTGGTTGTGGTGGGGCACTGGGCTGCTGAACTGCTGGGAGAGAGACAACCGCACGTGCGATGATTCTGAGGGGAATTTTCAAAAAAAACGTGACGGGTCCGTAATGGTGGGACCATTAGAGGGCGAAAATAGACTTTCTTTCTTTCCACCTCCTCCCACTTCCCCAACCCCTCGCTCTCTCCATTTCCGCAGTGTCTGTTGCTGCTCTCTCTCGCGTGGTGGTGGAGGGTGCTCCGGCGCATCTAACGAGGAGGGAGAGGGGGGAGGCGGTAAGGCCAGGCGTGAGCAACTCTTAGAGGGCGTCAAAGAAGAAGAAAAAAATGACTTCCTGTGTTGCCCTTGGGCAAAGGTACACGCATCATCATAGTGGATGCCCCTACAATCCCCCTATCTTCCTTGTGTGATATCAAAAGGAAAGGCGTCCTAGGTTCTCTCTCTCTCATACACCACCAGGGGTATGCGCGAGTGGGCGTGCGTCAGACGTTGAGAGAAAGAGAAAATGTGAAGGAGCTGAAACAAGAACGAACGATGAAAGATCAGGTGTGTTGCAGAAGATCACATGTGGGAAAACAAGAAAAGATATGTTTTTGTTATTTGGTGAGAGCGAAAAGAAGTTCTTCATTGTTGCCGTTGCTGTCGTTTTGGTTGGTGATATCTATTTTGCTTTGTTTTTCCCAATATTTGTGCTCCCAATTTTTTTTCTACTTCCCACATAATGTTGCCGCTGCTCTACACCCTTTCCGGTTCGCCATTTCATATTTGTGTTGGTGCTGTTGCCGTTCGCTTTGTCGGCCGCGCGTCAGTGACGGTTGCGGCTCGGCCCCCCGGTGTGGGGGCATGCAGAGCCACACGCACGCACACAACGAGAGAGAGAGAGAGAAAGAAAGCAAGAAAGAAAAGAGGCTGAGATAAAACGACTGAATTACATAGAGAAATGGAATGAAGCAATCAGCCCCACTTGTCTTTTCCAGATTCTTTCCTGTTGTCATTGCTTACTTTTTTTTTTGCTCCTCACACGCACACACACACACACATCATTTCTTCCTGAATCATCATCACCCCTCGACCTCTCCCCCTCTCGCTCACACACTCACTCATTCACTCAATTTTTTCTCTCATTTACTGTTGTTTATTTTCCCCATCGCATTTTTCATTTGTTTGATGATTTTTTTGTTTGTTTTTCGGCATCACTCCCTTCGCGACATGTCGTCTTCCTGCTCGTCTCCCATGCGTGGGTAGAGGCGGGCGGGCAGAGGGATT